TGAGGTCAGGAGTGTGAAACCAGCCTGGCCAACATGGTGAAACCCCGTATCTACTAAAAATACAAAAATTAGCTGAGCGTGGGAGCTAGCATCTGTAATCCCAGCTACTCTGGAGGCTGAGGCAGGGAGAACTGCTTAACCCGGGAGGTGAAGATTACAGTGAGCCGATATTACATCATTGCACTCCGGCCTGGGTGACAGAGTGAGACTCTGTCTCAAAAAGCAATAAAAATAAATAAAATATAAAATAAAAACTCAAAGCTGTTATCTGTATCTCAGTAAATTAGCTTACTGAATCTTTTTTTTTTTTTGAGACAGGGTCTCGCTCTGTCACCCAAGTGGCAAAAGCACAGCCGACTGCAGCTTCCCAGCCTCAAGTGATCCTCCCACCTCAGCCTCCCGAGTACTCAGGAATATTTGTGCGTGACATCACACCCAGCTAATTTGTTGTTGTAGTAGAGATAGGGTCTCACTATGTTTCCCAGGCTGGTCTCCAGTGCCTGGCCTCAAGTGATCCTCACACGTCAGCTTCCCAAAGTGCTAAGATTATAGGTGTGAGCCATTGTGCCCGAACCTTTTTCTAGCACATAGCTAAAATCAGCCGGATGAAAAAACTAAGTTTTGAAGGGTAAGGGGAAGAAAGAACTAATTTGGAAGATACAGGGTCTCAAAAAAGAAAGAGGCACCTGGTATTTACTCAGTTCAAAATTCTTCCTAGGTTAGGCATGGTGGCTCATGCTTGTAATCCTAGCACTTTGGGAAGCTGAGATGGACAGATCACTAGGGGTCAGGCATTCGAGACCAGCCTGGGCAACATGGTGAAATCCCATCTCTACTACAAATACAAAAATTAGCTGGGTATGGTGGCACACGCCTGTAGTCCCAGCTACTTGGGAGGCTGAGGCAGGAGAATTGCTTGAACTCAGGAGGCGGAGTTTGCAGTGAGCCAAGATCACCCCATTGCACTGCAGCCTGGGCAACGGAGTGAGACTCCATCTCAAAAATAAAAATAAATTCCTCCTGGGATGTTCATTCCTCCTTTTCTTCTCCCAGACACCAGAGAGGATCCTCTGCTACCATGCTCTCTAAAGCAAGGCTGTCGAGTCCTTAAGTGCCCGGGCCCTTACCCTCATTACAGTTATTCTGCCCTCCTGGGATGTTTGAGTGGTCATGGCACAGACAGTGAGTGAGAGCAGAGAGCAGTAGGTTTGTTGGGTTGTGGACAAAGGAAGAGGAAGGAAGAAATGGATGAATAAAGATGCAGTTAAGAGAAGGACACACAAAGCAGAAGAGAACCAGAAAGACAAGCTTTTACTTGATATATACCAAAAATGTTACTCAGTAATTACTGCCTTCTATGTACTCGGTTGGCTACAGTTCGCAGATCTTCACGTTCCTAACCTTTCAACTCCAGCACACACTTTATCTTTAAACCCCAGATTTCCCTTTTCACGTATCAGCTGCGTAAAGTATTAAAAGAAACATCTTCAATCATTTTAATTACATTAGCAGTGATTTAATTCCTTTAGATGCCAAACCTTATGGGTGAAACTGAATTAAATGTAGCCAAATGCAATGTCAAAATCTTCAGGCACAAAAACCCATTAACTTTTTAATACTCTCAGAAGATGAACCTAATTTCAAATGAAAGCTGCCTCCAGAATATATTGTTAAGCATATTCTAGATATAATTCATTTTGGCAAACGTTCTGTAGAAATTCACATAACATTTTACTGAACTAAAAGTAAGCTGTCCATGTAACAAAAAATATCTTTTCATAGCTTCAAGTGAATCTTAAAGGATGATTGACAGTCCTTGGAAGAGAAACAGTAAACAAATAAGGTTTACAGCAATGACGTATGAGTTAGAAACTGCAATTCCAGATAATCTCTCTATTAAAGAGACTATTTACACTTAATTTGGTCAATTGTAGTGAACACAGTTGATGTGAAGTCCCTATTTAAATACAACCTGAAATACCAAAGCTAATTTTCTTTTCTTTCTGTCTTTTTTGTTGTTGTTGAGACTGTGTCTTGCTCTGTCGCCCTAGCTGGAGTGCAGTGGCAAAATCAAGGCTCACTGCAGCCTCCGCCCCCTGGGCTCAAGTGATCCTCCTGCCTCAGCTAGGAGGACAGGTGCAAGCTACCACATCCAGCTAATTTTTGTATTTTTGGTAGAGATAGGCTTTCACCATGTTGTCCAGGTTGGTCTCGAACTCCTAAGCACAAGTGATCTGCCCACCTTGGCCTCCCAAAGTGCTGGGATTACAGGTGTGAGCCACTGCACCTGGCCAGAAAAATTTAAACATGCACAAACTCGAGTGGTCTAATTCCCTCTCACCCAATCAACCACAATACAGATAAAAGATGGTTTTTGCACAAACAAAAAAGACAAATTGTGAATGATGCATGATTTTTAATTACAAGTAAACTGGGTATATTATTTAAAGCTAAAGGGTGGTCAGTGGAAATTTTCCTCTGTTAGTACTTAAATACTTTTTATATTTATCGGCTTACTACAACCTGTGCCTCCCAGGTTCAAGCGATTCTCCTGCCTCAGCCACCTGAGTAGCAGAGAGCAAAGGAACACGCCACCATATCTGGCTAATTTTTGTATTTTTAGTAGAGACAGGGTTTCACCATGTTGGCCATGCTGGTCTTGAACTCCTGACCTCAAGGGATCCACCTGCCTTGGCCTTCCAAAGTGCTGGGATTACAAGCATGAGCCACCACACCCAGGCTAATTATTATTATTATTAAAATATCTTTTGCTCTCTCTTTCAAGAGAAACCTCATGTCATTCAGTTGCATCCATTTATTTATGCAACTTTGGCCTCCTGGGCTTGAGAGATCCTCCTGCCTCAGCCTCCCAAGTAGCTGGAACTACAGGCTCACACCACCATGCTTGGCTAATTTTTGCGTTTTGGAGAAATAGGCTCTTGTCATGTTGCCTAGGTTGGTCTCAAACTCCTGGGCTCAAGTGATCCACCTGCCTTGGCCTCCCAAAGCACTGGGATTATAGATATAAGCCACCACACCCAGCCGCAAGTACTCGTATACAAAATGCAAACACTGTTCTTCCATCATAAAAGTGATAAAACAGCTTATGTAAAGTTTTGTCATGTACTACTTATAATTACCTTGGGTACACTTTTTGATGTTAAAATGTATCTTATTATGAAACAGTTTTTCCATTGTATTAACTACTTTTACAACAATGCAAATAACAAATTATTTTACAAACCATTTAGAAATTTCTTTACTCTTGTCCCAATAATGTAAAATATATCACTGTCTATTACATTCAGATAAATTATATACTTGTAAACTATATATTTATGACTTATAGAAACATAAATAAATAATTATATGCTCAATTTTTAGGTATACTTAAATTAAGATTAAATATAAATTCTCAAGATAAATTAACAGTTCAGGGCTTCGCAACTTGAAATCCATGGAACAAGACATTGGAAATAACAAAATTGTGGTGCAATTCTTAGGTGAAATTTGCTGAAACTTTTTATTTTTTAAATAGAGATGGGATGTTACTATAATGCCCAAGCTGTTTTGAACTACTGGCCTTAAGTGATCCTCCCACCTCAGACTCCCAAAGTGCTGGGATTACAGGTATGAGCCATCACATCCAAGTGAAACTTCTTGAGATAGTTACATAATTTTTAAATTTGCTGGTGTAGAGGTTAGACAAACCGAATAAATACTAAATATTAGATCAAGTTTCTCATGTTTACTCTACAGTATAAAGATGTAATTTAAAGCACTGATTTTCACAAAATAACATCAGTGTGAAATTTGAGGTAATTATTTTCCCTGCTACCTTATGGATTAGAATTCTTCCTTCCTCTGGAATTCACTGTATTTCCTTAAGAATCCAAATATTTTATTTCATGTATCTGGGAAATGAGGTGCTTTAGTCAACTGAATGTTCTCAAAACTAAAAAGCAATAATTAAAAAGTACTTAACTCAGAAATTATAAAAATGTAAGACATCAATAAAATACATTCTATACAGAATACACCAGTCATACGCTAATCTACTCTTTTTTTGGTAATAAAAAATGTACTTACTGGGCTGGGTGCAGTGGCTCACACCTGTAATCCCAGCACTTTGGGAAGCCAGGGCAGGCAGATCAGTTGAGGCCAGAGTTTGAGACCAGCCTGGCCAAAATGACAAAATACCGTCTCTACTAAAAATACAAAAATGAGCAGGGCATGGTTGCAGGCACCTGTAATCCCAGCTACTCTGAAGGATGAGGCAGAAGAATTGTTTGAACCCAGGATGCAGAGCTTGCAGTGAGCCGAGATCATGCCACTGTACTCCAGTCTGGGCGATAGAGCAAGTCTGTCTCAAAAAAAAAAAAGAAAAAAAAAAAGGCCAGGCGAGGTGGCTCATGCCTGTAATCCCAGCACTTTAGGAGGGAGGCTGAGGCAGAGATCGAGAGCATCCTGCCCAAAATGGTGAAACCCCATCTCTACTAAAAATACAAAAATCAGCCAGGTGTGATGGCACATGCCTACAATCCCACAGCTACTCCAGAGGCTGAGACAGGAGAATTGCTTGAACCCAGGAGGCTGTAGGGAGCCGAGATTCTGTCACTGCACTCCAGCCTGGGCGACAGAGTCAGACTCCATCTCAAATAAGAAAGAAAGAAAAAAGAAAGAAAGAAAGAAAGAAGGAAAGAAGAAAGGCAGGCAGGAAGGAAGGAAGGAAGGAAGGAGAAAGAAAGAAAGGTACTTACTAAATTTTAGTATCAAAATAGCAACAAATTATGTATGTTTTGGGGAAAGAAATCTGGTTATTAAATCTTCATTTCGATTGAGTTATATGTAAATTAAAATTCAGTATAAGGACTATTTTTTGGTAGAAAAGTTCATCTGACCCAAAAATGTTCAGGAGATAACCTGAGATTTTAGAATAGAAATGTAAAGAATCAAAACCAAGTTTCCTGAAACTCACTTTAAAATATTAGAAATATTAATAATTCTAAAATGCCATTTTGCCACTAGTATTTATATTAACCAAAATATTAGAGAAGTAAAGCTTTCAGACTAGAACAGGAAAAAATGAATACAGTTCACAAATAATCATGGATAATTTAAAAAACAAGTGGGTGAACAAATAGTAGTAATCCCTCCAAATGAAGTACATAATTGGCGAATCAAGTATTCAGTCTGCAGGCAATCCTGTGTATTTTAGGTCAACAATGTGGTCCCTTTAAGAGAGTCCTTGAATTCTCATTTCTCCGGGGACCCTTTGATGGCACTGCTCCCCTTGGTATGAAAAAAGGGAAGAGCTGACTTGAATGTGCCGTCACCACTCTGCTGGGAAAAACAGAGGAAGATGGCCCAGAGAAAAGAACAGAGCCCCGCGTAAGCTGTTCTCCACTGAACAGGAACAAGGCTGAAGTTGGTCAGCTGGAACAGACAGAGTCCGTTAGGGCCACATGGAAACCAAAGCCCTGAGTTAATATTCCTGAGTAGGCGGAACTCACCTGTACAAAGGGCCAGTACATCAGTCCGCTCTGGAATTGGAAAAAAAAAAAAGTTATTAGAATGTCTTTTATTTTTTGAGACAGGGTCTGAATCTGTCGCCCAGACTGGAGTACAGTGGCACGATCTCAGCTTGCTACAACCTCTGCCTCCTGGGTTCAAGCAATTCTCATGCCTCTGCCTCCTGACTAGCTGGGATGACAGGCACACAACACCACTCCACCTGGCTACTCTTTGTATTTTTAGTAGAGACAGGTTTTCACCATGTTGGCCAGGCTGGTCTCAAATTCCCGACCTCAGATGATCTGCCCACCTTGGCATCCCGAAGTGCTGGGATTACAGGCGTGAGCCACCACACCTGGCCTAGAATGCCTTTGAACCACACAAAACAATTGCAGAGTTCATTTCATTAAAAAGTAAGCAATACTAGGCCAACAAGATGCCAATGTAGTATCATATTTCAGACTAAGCTGATTAAATTAGACTACTTAAGGCTTCTAGCGTGAAGGGGGTTGGGGAATTGTGGGGAAAAAAAGCTATTAGGTACAAGACATTTGTATTAATTTTATATTTAGCTCCAGAATGAAAAGTCTAATAGAATCAGTACCAATTCTGGAAGACAACTGCTTTGAAAATAATAGCATATATTTATGTATTGTAATATCCTGGTTACCATGAGCAAATGATGCAGGAATATATTTGTAAATACAGAATCATCAATGAATTCTTTTTTCTTAATTTTTTATGAGACATGGTGTCTATGTTGCCCAGGCTGCTCTCGAATTCCCAGGAAAAAGCAACAGTCCCACCTCAGCCTCCCGAAGTGCTAGAATTGTGGCATGAGCCACCTCACTGGCCAAATTTCTTTTTTTTTTTTTTTTTTTTTTTTTTAAAGACTGTGTCTCGCTCTGTTGCCCAGGCTAGAGTGCAGTGGTGTGACCTCGGCTCACTGCGACCTCCGCCTCCTGGTTTCAAGCAATTCTGCTGCCACAGCCTCCTGAGTAGCTGGGATTACAAGCGTCTGCCACCACACCTGACTAAGTTTTGTATTTTTAGTAGAGACAGAGTTTCACCATGTTGGCCAGGCTGATCTTGAACTCCTGACCTCAGTCTGCCTCCTGATCCACCTGCCTCAGACTCCCAAAATGCTAGAATTTCAGGCGTGAGCCACTGAGTCCAGTCTCAAATTTTTAAAACTATATGCCAAACCATGGTTTATGAATGATTTTCTATTAACATATTTAAATCATGTGATGCTATAGGACAAGTTTAGCTGAAATTTTTAAATGTTACAAAATATCTTAGACATTTTAACAAGCTTTATCCTATGCATTCTGATGAAAAAGTCACCATTATGAATTTTTTTAAAAAGAAGACTTGATATGTAAAATTTATGTTCGAAAAAAAACCTAGAGGTTTTTAAAATAATCCTTAAAAGTGATATTAGAGATTTATTTTCTTCTTTTTCCTAATTTGTATTTTCTGAGGTTTCTAAAATGAACAGTTAAAAGCTTTATAATATTTATGTTTATATTTAAAAGTAGATAGTACATAAAATATATATCTTATATTTAAAGTATATTTAAAAATTTAAGGCTGGGCATGGTGTCTCACTCCTGTAATCCCAGAACTTTGGGATGCTGAGGCAGACAGATCACCTGAGGTCAGGAGTTTGGGACCAGCCTGGCCAACATGGCAAAAACCCATCTCTAATAAAAAAACAAAAATTAGCAGAGCATGGTGGTGAGAACCTGTAATCCCAGATACTTAGAAGGCTGAGGCAGGAGAATCGCTTGAACCCAAAAGGTGGAGGTTGCAGTGAGCCAAGATCATGCCATTGCACTCCAGCCTGGGTGACAGAATGAGACTCTGTCTGAAAAAAAAAAAAAAAATTTTTTTAAACTTTAGCAAAAATAATCAGAAGACTAAACTCATCCAAACATAGCTTTCCAATTTTCTTTCTTTCTTTTTATTTTATAGAGATGGGGGCCTCACTATGTTGGCCAGGCTGGTCTTGAACTCTTGGCCCCAAGCAATCCTCCTGCCTCTGCCTCCTGAGGGCATGAGCCACTGTGCCCGAGCATGGCTTTATTTCTTATGACTGTGTTTTTTTTTTCTTGTCAGAATGTAGTATGATGTAGTAGTATATTTTGTTTTTACATCATTCTCCCATAAAAAGGAATCAGGACTCCTCGGAGAAATGGCTGATGCCAGGGCCAGGGCAGAGCAGGGCAGGTACAAGACACAAGGTACAAGACAGTCGAGGAACATATTATCATGCCAGAAAGGAAGTGGCTTACAAAAGAAGAAATGGAGAAAGAAGCTGAATGATGTCATAGGACACAGGAACAAGCTTGGAGGGACTCCCACTGGCCAAATCTGGGACGTGTGAGCACTAAAAATAATTAAACACTGCCGTGAACTCTTCCCTGTGCTTCGGCAATCTCTGAATAGCCCAAAGACATCTGGCATTCAGCATTTCCCAAATAGAACTCATCTCATTTTTTTTGGCTTCCTTTCCTCTGTGTCCTGAATCAAGTGATGAACCAGTACCCATGTAGTTACTTAAACTAGAACTGTGTGGTTCCTAGAGGTATCCTGAATCCATTACCCCTACTTTCAATCAATCATTCCGACCCACTCATTCTACCTTCTTAAATATCCCTCAAGCCTTTCCTATGCCCACTGCTTTCTCATTTCATATATATATATATATTTTGTTGTTGTTGTTGTTTAATTTTTTTGAGTCTCTCCCTGTCACCCAGGCTGGAGTGTAGTGGCGTGATCTTGACTCAATGCAACCTCCACCTCCCGGGTTCAAGTGATTCTCGTGCCTCAGCCTCCCAAGTAGCTGGGACTACAGGTGCACACCACCACACCCGGCTAACTTTTGTACTTTTGGTAGAGACAGGGTTTCACCATGTTGGCCACACTGGTTTCAAACTCCTGACTTCAAGTGATCTGCCTGCCACAGCTTCCCAAAGTGCTGGGATTACAGGTGTGAGCCACCGCACCCGGCCAGTTTTATTTTTTTTAAATAAATACAGACAGGGTCTTGCTATGTTGCCTAGGCTGGTCTTGAACTCGTAACCTCAAGGGATCCTTCTCCCTCAGCCTCCCAAAATGCTAGGATTACAGGCGTGAGCTACTGCACGCAGCGTGCTTCCTTATTTCTTTTGTGAGTTTAGTTACATAAGAAATTTAACTTTGGTTTCCTTAGCTGCCATTATCTGAGGGTGAAGTTCAAGATCCTCAGCTCGGGGCATTCAACAGTCTCCAGGATCCAAACTTATTCCAAGTTGCTCAGCAAATGGTCCATGGACACCAAACTGCCTGTGGTTTCTCCCCTCTAGGCATATCACAATGCTTTACATATTGTCAACTCTACTCAGCTCCTTCTGTCCCTGGGATACCCTGTCCTCCAGTATGAGTGTAATTATAGCTTTTTTTTTTTTTTTTTTTTTTGAGACAAGGTCTGATTCTGTTGCCCAGGCTGGAGTGCAGTGGCACAATCATAGCTCACTGCAGCCTCAGCCTCCTGGACTCAGGAGATCCTCCCATGTCGGCCTCCTTAGTAGCTGGGACTCCTGAGTAGCATGGTGCGAGCCACTATGCCCAGCTCACTTTTGTGTTTGTAGAGATGAGGTTTTGTTGTCATGTTGCCCGGGCCGGTCTCAAACTCCCCAACTCAAGCGATCCACCCACCCTGGCCTCCCAAAGTGATGGGATTACAGGCATGAGCCGCTGGTGCCTGGCCCCAGCAAGACTTCCTGGATCCCCACCTCCACACCTCCTCATTGTGCTAAGTACCCATGGGCTCTGAGAGCATTTCTCGTGGAATTCTAGTTAATGACTTGTCTGTTTATCTATCTATCCCACTAGAATCTAAGTGCCTTTAGGACAGAATCTGTGTTTTATATGGGTTTTTTGGGTATCTTCCACAAACACCTAGTACAGCACCTGGAAGACAGTTTCTTATCAAAGCAAATCTTCCCCAAAAAATCTCCAAATGGGCTGGGCTTCTGACTGCTGGTATACCTTCTTTCTTTTCATGAGGGTAGATGAGACTCGCTCATTGTAACCACTATTTTTTTAAAACAGTATGCAAATGTTCCCATGGTTCTGTTCATCATTTACAAATCCTTGCCTGAAGCTTCTTTCTTTTTTTTTTTTTTTTTTTTTTGAGACAAAGTCTTGGTCTGTTGCTAGGCTGGAGTGCAGTGGTGTAATCTTGGCAACTGCAACCTCCGCCTCCTGGGTTCAAGCAGTTCTCCTGCTTCAGCCTCCCGAGTAGCTGGGACTACAGGCGTGTGCCACCATGCCCAGCTAATTTTTTCATATTTTAGTAGAGACGGGGTTTCACGAGGTTGGCCAGGATGGTTTCGATCTCCTCACCTTGCGATCCGCCCACCTCGGCCTTCCAAAGTGCTGGCCTGAAGCTTCTTTCTTTCCCAATTCTACTTCCTTCTCTCTCTCTCTTTTTTTTTTTGAAACAGGGTCTCACTCTGTCACTCAGGCTGGAGCCCAGTGGCACAATCATAGCTCACTGCAGCCTCAGTCTCCCAGGCTTGTGATCCTCCCATCTCAGCCTCCCAAGCAGCTGGGACCAGAGATGCACGCCACTATACTCAGCTATTTTACTTTACTGTGCTAAAGATGGGGTCTCACTATGTTGTGCAGGCTGGTCTCAAACTCCTGGACTCTAGCGATCCTCCTGCCTCAGCTTCCCAAAGTGCTGGGATTACAAGTGTGAGCTGCCTAACTTCTTGCTCTTAAAAAAAAAAAAATGTTAGCTGTACATATCTCTATAGACTTTACAACATAATGGAAAAGCTTGTTCCTTTTTCCAAATTAAAACAGAAGAAGTGGCTGGGTGTGGTGGTTCACACCTGTAATCCCAGAACTTTGGGAGGCTGAGGCAGGCGGATCACCTGAGGTCAGGAGTTCAAGACCAGTCTGGCCAACATGGTGACACCCCGTCTCTACTGAAAAATAAAAAAATTAGCTGGACATGGTTGTGCAAGTCTGTAATGCCAGCTACTCAGGAAGCTGAGGCAGGAGAATTGCTTGAGCCGAGAGGCAGAGGTTGGAAAGAGCCAAGGTGGTGCCACTGCACTCCAGCCTAGGAGACAGAGTAAGACTCTGTCTTTAAAAAAAAAAAAAAAAAAAAAAAAAAAAAAAAACCAGAAGAAAATCACATTTGGTTGTCAGCATGGGGTCCTCAATTTCTGCCCTAAGAGAAATCCCAAGAGTTCTGAACACATTCCTTGTAGTTACTATAGTTACTCTATACTGTAGTATAGAGGCTCAGGGGAAGCCTCTGGCTTCAAACCTCTCCATCCTCTGCCTCTAGCCATCAAGTGATGCTTGCTCAGAGGCTCGGTACCATCCAACAGATGATGCTAGAAGCTGTACAGGTATAGGTAGTTGTGGCTCAACACTGCTTTCGATAGGGAATGAAGAACATGTGAAGGCCTAGGCCAGCCTGTGTACATTCTAGAATCCCAAAGATTCATCTCCTTGTGATGAATGCAATCGAAAATGCTCTAGGGCAGAGATGAAAATCATCCCGGATTTTGCCAGGCCTTAGGACACTGTTCAATAAATCTTAACTGAATAAATATGTATTGGACTGGATTGTGTATGTTTGTGCTGAGCAAACAGTAAAACAGCTGATTTGCTTCAAACCTTGGAATAACCCTGGGTGGAAAACTCTCCTTCACTATCAGTACCTTTTTGATAATAAAGTTCTTTTCAGCAAGAGTCTGCAGAGTGCTCACCTGAAAACATTGACTCTGAATGTGGGAAGGATTCCATTAAGCCACTTACAGTCTACAATCCCTATTTTGCAAATAGGATCCCAAATTTATAAAATAAATTGTCCCTTTGGCTGCAAAATTTACAAAATAAATTGTGATCATTAATAAGAGTTCATATAATAAAGTCAGAAATCATTGAGAACATGGACTAAAATGCATAGATAGTATTTCTTTTTTGAGATGGAGTCTCGCTCTGTTGCCCAAGCTGGAGTGGTGTGATCTCGGCTCACTGCAACCTCTGTCTCCAGGTTCAAGTGATTCTCCTGCCTCAGCCTCCCGAGTAGCTGGGATTACAAATGTGCACCACCGTGCCCAGCTAATTTTTGTATTTGTAGTAGGATGGGGTTTCACCATGTTGGCCAGGCTGGTCTCAAACTCCTGACCTCAAGTGATCCATCTGCCTCAGCCTCTGAAGGTGCTGGGATTACAGGCATGAGTCACTCTGCCCGGCCTAGACATATTATTTCTTTCCAATTCATAAGAAGTATAGATACTCTTAAAGCCTCTCCTCATTCATCTATCAAAATAACTAAGATTTCTCTGTCAAAATATTGGACCCTTCTGCCAGCCAAACTGGAGCTCTAATTTAAGAATTAGTTTTATTAAAATGTACTTAATGTTGAGATGGGAGGATCGCTGAAGCACAGGAGTTTGAGGCCAGCCTGGGCTACATAGTGAGACTCTGTCTCTACCAAAAAATTTAAAAATAATTAGCTGGGTGTGGTGGCCCATGCCTGTAGTCTCAGCTGCTCAGAAGGCTGAGGTGGGAGAATTGCTTGAACTCAGGAGGTTGAGGCTGCAATGAGCCATGATCACACAACTGCATTCCAGCCTGGGTAACAGAACGAGACCCTGTCTCAAAAAAAATTTGTTTATTTAAAACACACACACACACAAGCGTATGTGCGCAGAGAACCCTGATATGATTAGACGTGTGTACTGAAGAATCACGTGTGTACTGAATTATCTGCATATACGTGTCAATTAAAAAATTTTAAAATCCTTATAAATATATACATATATACCCAAAAAGATACTGATTACACTTTCAAAAGCCTGTCTTACCATATAGGTATTCCAGAATTTCTGTTTCAGGTCCAAAAATATGTCATCCTTTCCCTGGAGAATGCTCATACCTATTTGCAAAAAACACCGAAAGAATTTTAAGAGATTCATAAGAGTACTGTAGAACAGTTCATGTTTAAGTTTCCCATTTCAATATGCAAAGTAACCATCACTAACATCCATAAATGACCTTTCTGACCCTACAGTGAAAAGAACATAGCCAAGCGTGGTGCCTCATGCCTGTAATCCTAGCACTTTGGGAGGTCGAAGCAGGGAGATCGCTTGAGTCCAGGAGTTAAGAGACCAGCCCGGGCAACATGGTGAAACTCCATCTCTACAAAAAATTCCAAACTTAGCCAGATGTGGTGACACACCTGTAGTCATAGCTACTTAGGAGGCCAAGGTGGGAGGATTGCTTGAGCCTGGGAGGTGGAGGCTACGGTGAGCTGTGATAATGTCACTGCACTCCAGCCTGGGCAACACAGCGAGACCCTGTCTCAAAACAAAAAAAAGAACATAATCTCCATTCTAAAACTAGGTAAATTTTAAAGGAATGCTAAATACAAATCAAAAATAGCAGAGTATTAAAGTTACAGGAAAACAATTATTTTTTCAAAAACTGTAACAATTCACAAAAACAAACAAGTTACAATAGTGGGTCTATTGGTGACTTTATCTTCCAAACATTTTGTGAAATGTTGAACATTTTGAAATTTTAATTTCTATCTTTAAAAAAAAGCCAGTGGGCCAGGTGCAGTGGCTCATCCCAGCACTTTGGGAGGCCAACGTGGGCAGGTCACCTGAGGTTGGGAGTTTGAGACCAACATGGAGAAACCCTGTCTTGACTAAAAATAAAAAATTAGCTAGGCGTGGTGGTGCATGCCTGTAATACCAGTTAGTTAGACGGCTGATGCAGGAGGATCGCTTGAACCCAGGAGGCAGAGGTTGCAGTGAACCAAGATCACACTACTGCACTCCTGACTGGGTGACAAAGCGAGATTCCATCTCAAAAAAATAAAAATAAGTAATTTTTTATTTAGTGGACCCAAATATTCTGGCAACTACAAATTTCCCATCAGTATTACCCTAATCAAAATCTGAAAGTGGAACATCAATTCAGCCTTCCTAAAAACACTTTGAAAACTTTGATCTTCAACATCCCTGAAGAGAAATTCACAGCCTGGGTAATACATCAAGACCTTGTCTCTACAAAACAATTTAAGAACCAGCCAGGTATGGGAGTACACGCCTGCAGTCCCAGCTACTCCAGAGGCAGAGGTGGGAGGATTGCTTGAGCCCAGGAAGTCGAGGCTGCAATGAGCTGTGATCACATCACTGCACTCCAGGCTGGGGAATAGAGTGAAACCCTGTCTCAAAAAGAGAAAAGGAAAAAAGAAAAAAGAAATTCAGGTAGCAAGGCAAAGCTCTTGTATTTTAGGACGGGTTGTAAAACTGAGAGTACTTTAAAAATTCTTTCCAATCCCTGATTACAAAGGAGGGGAAATAAGAGCTTTATTAGTTAATTGCAGAAGATTCTTACGTGACCCAGCAAAATATTGGTAATACTGTGTTCCACTTAGCCAGCATTAATTAAATGCTAAGTACTTTATGTGCCTCATTTCATGTTCCTCTCCTTACAATTTGCTAAGGTAGGTAGAGTTACAAAGGAGGAAAAGAGCTTAGAGAGGTTAATAGCAGACAGAGTTTAACCCAGGTGTCCCATTCCCAAGCAGAGCTCTTAATCTGTTATGACTCAGGTTCCCCAAGGTGGCCCCAGCACAAAGATCATCTGATTAATGCAATTTCCAGGTAGAGCCTTACACAAACCTCCAATCCATCCCTTTCCACTTCCCCCTTCATTGTAATACAAGATGAGGAAAACTGAACTAGAAAAAACTGAAAACCAAAGCAAAGTAGCAATCTGGCCAGGAATCTGTATCAGAGACCTTGGCCTGGACATAGGTTCAAGTCTTGTTAGTTACTCAGCACCTTTCAGTCCAGGCACACTGTCAACCTTTTCACCATGAGAGCATCAAGTGCCTGGATTGTGTTCTCTTTGGGTGAGTCACGTAACCCTTCTGAGACTCAGTTTCCTCATTTGTAACATGAGAATAATAAGAACAGTCTCAGGTGTAGTGGCTCACGTCTATAATCCCAACACTTTGGGAGCCTGAGGTGGGCAGATCACTTGAGGTCAGGAGTTTGAGACCAGCCTGGCCAACATGGTGAAACCTCACGTCCATTAAAAATACAAAAATTAACCGGGCATGGTGGTGTGTGTCTGTAATCCCAGCTACTCGGTAGGCTGAGGCAGGAGAATTGCTTAAATTCAGAGGTGGCAGTGAGCCAAGATCAGGCCACTGTATACTCCAGCGTGGATAATAAAACAAGAGTCTGTTTCAAAAAAAAAAAAAAAAAAAAAAAACACAGAAAAAAGAAAAAGAACAATCTCACTGGTCTTTGAGGATGAAATAGGATTCTGGTCCCCTACCCCTTCACCAGTATACAAGCTTCTGTAATGTGCTAGGAAGCAGTTTGCAAATCCAGTCTGGAAATGATACCCTGGAACCAGGCACAGACCTTCTGATAAAACAGAAGCCTAGCTCTCAGGCTGTCTGTTCTCCTGACCCACTGACCCCATCAGCCATGTGGCTGGCTGCAATGGCAATAGGTAATCAGGTCATTTGTGTTTCTGATGGGGTCTGTTGGGAAAGGAAATGAATCTGACTCTTAAAAATAAGGCTCAGGGGGCAGGGTAGGTTTCTTCAAGACAGTGGCTTGCCTGACCTCAGCCTGGTATTAGAAAGCATCAACAGCCCTTAGGAAAAGTCCTCTTCCATTTGGGGGGAAATTTGTGATCCCCAATCCCAAGGTCAGGCTTAAGACCCATAGAGCTTTTCTCCCCAGTTACCCACCCCAACCCCTTCAAGGCTATAGAAATTGCGATGATGATAGAGGCCATAGGGCTCTTTCTGTAAACAGACAGGGAGGATCTCCAAAGACTACTGGAAGTTAACCAACTTGAGCAATCAGCCTGTTTTACAGCCTCCTGCCCTCAACCTCTCCTTCCCCAACCCTGGGTGGAATGAGGACACCTTGTTTGTTTAAACCAGCTCCAGCGAGCGAGGTGGCTCAGGCCTGTTGTCCCAGCAGCTTAGGAGGCTGAGGCGGGTGGATTGCCTGAGCTCAGGACTTCGAGATCAGCCTGGGCAACACGGTCACACCCCATCTCTACTAAAAATACAAAAATAAATTAGCCAGGCATGCCACGAGAATCACTTGAACCTGGGAGGCAGAGGCAGGAGAATCGCTTGAACCCGGGAAGTGGAGGTTGCAGTGAGCCAAGATCACACCACTGCACTCAAGCCTGGGCAACAGGGCAAGACTCTGTCTCCAAAAAAAATAAAAAAATAAAAAAATAATAATAATAAAAAAAATCCAGCTCCTAACTGAACCCGGGTTACTTATAGATGAACCCAAGTTAACTCCCGTCATTACCATGCTAAAGTCTTCACTCCAGGAGAAGCTACAGCTTCATGACTATAACACACAACCTATGTACTAACATGATGACTCACTGCATCTGCGCCACTGGGACCCCTACTCTACATGCAGTCATGCACCCTCACATTCTCCCCTCTCCATCATCCCATAAAACCCTCCTGTCTCTCTCTAAGGGACACACTGCTTTGGAGAATACGCCCAGTGTCTTCCTTACTCGTGCCAAGAAATAAAACTCCCATTGATCAAAACCTGCCTCTTGGTGGAGTCATTTGTGACTCCTTAGGGGAATGAACCCTGGTATTTTTCAGGTAACATTTCCATTGTTGTTATTTTAGGCAGTGGAGAAGGTTTCCACAGTCATTCCCTTGTCCCCTACACCCCAGGCCCGGGTCGGATACTCTAAGGAGAGGGTTCCCTGAACGCTCACAGGTATATAGTCCTCCATAGCAGGAATACAAGGTCCCCTATTTTCTGTGGGACCCCCCCAGGGGAAAATCTTGTTACCAAAGCAGAACTAGGACCTTGGGCATGAATTTTCTGAGGATCCAGGCATAATCTCACATTCCACCTGCATGGGTCCCCTTGCATTTTGTTCCTATGTTGGCCCTGGAGCCCCAGGCGTGGATTTTCTGAACAGCAGGTGGGTCCCTTCCCTTCCCCAGGACTGGTTCATGGCCTTTGCAGATGTTATGGCGTTGAGCTGAGATCTTGATTTTCCCGTGGGCCTTTTTGAGAGGGAAAAAGCCCTCCCTAGCCCTGCCTACCTCCAGCCTTGGCGTACACCCAACCCCAGAGTAAGCCCTGACCCTAGTGCCCTCAATTCCTGACCCGGTGGACCTCTAGCTCCCAATTTCCGGGCTCCCCAGCCAGTGCCTCCCACCCCAACTTCTCCTCATCAAACACCCTAGCCTCCAGCCCTTGCCCCGGCTCTCCCAGGCCGCTGAAGCAGCCGCGACCTCAGAGCCCCAGCTCCTGCCCGCATCCCCAGGCCCCTGCAGCGCCCTCCCTCCAGCCACTTGATCCCCAAGTCCCTGCCTCCAGTCCCCCAATACTGGGTTCCACCTCCCAGACCCCCTCCCAGACCCTCACCGACGTAGAAGGCCGAGACAGCTATGGGCGCGCCAACCACCTGGTCGCACAGTACTTTGGCCAGCACGATGCGCGGCGCGCGGCCCGGGAGCGCGCGCTCCAGCAGGCCCAGCCACACGTAGTTGAAGTTGGCGTGGAAGGTCACCACCACGGTGGCCACGCGCCGCGTATGGCGCCAGTCGGCCTGGACGCCCCGCAGCCGCTGCTGCAGCGCGTCCCCGGACGAGAAGAGCGCGGCGTAGAGCAGCACGTTGGTGGGCCACGGGTGGCGCCGGGCCGCGCGCGACAACGCCGGCCACCAGCCCGCCATGTCCGCGCCGTGGGCGCCCGCGATCAGCAGCCGGCGTGGTCGGCGGCTTCGGTACCGTGTCCGGGCCTCCAGCGCCTGCAGCAGTCTCTGCGCCGCCGCCCGCGCCCGCACCTGCCTCCTCCAGATGCTCCGGAGCGATTGGGCGCCGCGCACCCCCCGCCGCGCCGTCCAATCCGGAGGCCACGGGCCGACGTCGGGGCTGAGCGTTGGAAAGGGGCCCGGCCCACCAGTGGCTTGGGTCCATTCACGCGAAATACCCAGAACAGGCAAAGCCACAGAGGCAGAAGGTACGGGGTTATTTATTTATTGTTGTTTTAATTTACTAATTAATTATTTTGAGTCAAGAGTCTCCCTCTGTCGCCCAGGCTACAGTAACGTGATGCGATCTCGGCTTAAGGCAACCTGCGCCTCCCAGGTTCAAGCTATTTTCCTGCCTCAGCCTCCCGCGTACCCGGGACTGCGCGTGCGCCATCACACCCGGCTAATTTTTGTATTTTTAGCCGAGACCGGGTTTCAACATGTTGGCCAGGCTGGTCTCGAGTGATCCGCCCTCCTCGGCCTCCCATACGGGATTATTTTTTGGAGTGATGAAAACATTTTGAAATTAGATAGGTGTGATGGTTGCATGGCTTTGCGAATATATTAGAAACCACTGAATTGTACACTAAAAAAGGGTGCATTTGGCCGGGCGCAGTGTGGCACATGCCTGTAATCTCAGCACTTTTATAGGATTGCAAAGGAGGATCCCTTGAGGCCAGGAGTTCCAGATTAGCCTGGGCAACACAGGAAGACCCCGTCTCTACAAACAAAACAAACATACAAAAAATTATTGTAATTTGTCAGGCTTGGTGGTGCGCGCTGATAGTCTCCGCTACCGTTACTCGGGAGGCTGAGGTGGGAGGATCGCTTGAGCCCAGGAGTACAAGGCTGCGGTGAGCCACAATAGGGCTACTGCACTCCAGCCTGGAAAAAAAGAAAGAGAGAGAGAGAGAGAGAGAAATAAATGAAGGGATAGCAAAAGTTGACTTGTGCCTGTAATCCCGGCATTTTGGGAGGCTGAGGCGTGCGGATCAGCTGAGGTTAGGAGTTCGAGACCAGCCTGGCCAACATGGTGAAACTCTGTCTCTAAAAATACTAAAATTATCTGAACGTGGTGGCAAGCGCCTGTAATCCGAGCTACTCGAGAGGCTGCGGCATAAGAATCGCTTGAACCCGGGAGGCGGAGGTTGCGGTGAGCAGAGATTTCGCCATTGCACTCCAGCCTGGGTAACAAGAGCAAAACTCCCTCTCAAAAAAAAAAAAAAAAAAAAAGTTGGCAGACCAATAATTCACATTTGCAACACACAGAATACACTGAACTGATTGTGTGACTTTCCTCTAGAGAAAATGTCAAAAGTTACAATTTGAGGGATTTTATGAATGTGAGATGAGGCCCAGTCTGCCTTCTCTTCCTCAGTTTGTGCCTCAATGATTGTCACTTCCCAAAACATATGCTGAGCTCCCAGCTTCCAGGCACTGGCCCAAGCAACAGACACAGTGGAGTCTCCCACCTTACAGAACTCATTTTTCTCTGCTTCTTTCTTTGTTGACTTTTTCTCTTTCTTTTTTCTTTCTTTCTTTCATTCTTTCTTTTTCTTTTCTTTCTTTCTTTTTTTCTTTCTTCTTTCTTCTTTATTTATTTATTTATTTATTTATTTTTTTGATATAGGGTCTTACCCAGTTGCCCAAGCTGAAGTGCAGTGGTGCAATCATAGCTCACTGCAACCTTAAACTCCTGGGCTCAAGTGATGGTTCCTGCCTCAGCCTCCTGAGTAACCAGGACTGCATTCACCAGCCACCATGCCTGGCTAATTTTGTAGTTTTTTTGTACAGACAGGGTCCTGCTATGTTCCCCAGTCTGGTCTGAACCCCTGGCTTCCAGCCATCCTTCTGCCTTGGATTCTGTAAGTGCTGGGATTCTAGGCATGAGCCACCACGTCCGGCTTTTCCTGCCTTTTTTACTCCTCTTTCACAGTCACATCCAAACCTGTTCTCTCTCCCTCACTTCCTCTTCTCTATTTACCCTACATTTATTTAGTTTTTAATTTTTTTACTTTTAATGATTGCATTTATTTATTTTTGAGAGAAGGGTCTCGCTATGTTGCCCAGGTTGGTCTTGAACTCCAGTGCTCAAGTGATACTCCCACCTCAGCCTCCCTAGTAGCTGGGTTACAGGCACATGCCACCACATCAAGCTCTGATTTTTAACATTTTCCTTCCTTCCTTCCTTCCTTCCTTTTCTTTCTTTCTTTCTTTTTTTTTTTTTTTGAGATGGGGAGTCTTGCTCTGTCACCAAGCCTGAGCTGCAATGGTGGGATCTCAACTCACTGCAGCCTACGCCTCCTAGGTTCAGGCAATTCTCCTGCCTCAGCCTCCCGAGTAGCTGACATTACAGGTGTGTGCCACTACTTCCTGCTAATTTTTGTTTTTTTAGTAGAGATGGAGTTTTGCCATGTTGGCAAGGCTGGTCTCGAACTCCCGACCTCAGGTGATCCACCCACTTGGCCAAAGTGCTGGGATTACAAGCATGAGCCACCATGTCTGGCCGAGCAAATAAATTTCCATGGTCTAAGCCACCCTTGTGTGTGCTATTTTATTATGGCAGCCCCAGCAAACTAATATATCTATTCTCTTCAGTTCTTGGGAATCTGCCCATTTCTATATTCTCTGACCCTTTTTATCTGCCCATTTGTTGATTTCTAGCCTTTTCCTTTCCCTATCCTTGTTACTGGTCCCAAGTAAATTTCTGTTAGATTTCTCCCAGCTGGGCAAGCTTCCAGCTCACCAGAACATCTCCTTGTATTCCCTTTGTATCATTTTTCCATTGTCAAGGTAACAAGTTACCACAAATTTAATGGCTTAAAAGAACACAAATTTCTTGTCTTAGAGTTTGGGGGGTTAGAGTCTAAAATAATTCCAGGGCTGCATTCCTCTTGGAGATCCAAGGAGAGTCCATTTCCTTGCCTCTTCCAAGCTTCTAGATGCTCCCTACACTCATTGGCTCCCCATCCAACATCTTCAAAGTCAGCAGCATAGAATCTTCCCCTCTCTCTCTTTTTAGACAAGTTTGCACTCTGTCACCCAGGCCGGAATGCAGTGGTACCGTTATAGCTCACTGCAGCCTCAAATTCCCAGGCTCAAGTGATCCTCTTGCCTCAGCCTCGCCAGTAGCTGTGACCACAGGCAGGCACCACCATGCCTGAGTAATTTTTAATTTTTTGTAGAGACAGGGTCTTGCAGTGTCACCAGGGCTGTCTTGAATTCTTGGCCTCACACGATCCTCCCACCTCAGCCTCCCCACAGTGCTGAGATTACAGGTGTCAGCCATTGCACCCAGCCACATAGCCTTTTCTGACCTTGTAGAGATTCGGTCTTGCTATGTCTCCAGGGCTCTCTTGAATTCTTGGCCTCCCTCTTAGAAGGACCCCTGTGATTACATTAGGTGCACCTGGATGATCCAGGCCTTGCTCCACATCTCACAATCCATACGTTGGCTGGGTGTGGTGGCTCATACCTGTCACCAAAGCACTTTGGGAAGCTGAGGCTGGAGGATCGCTTGTCAGGCCAGGAGTTCAAGACCAGTCTGGGCAAAATAGTGAGACCCCTGCTATGGTTTGGATTTGTATCCCTGCCCAAATCTCACACCGAATTGTAATTCCCAGTTTAGGAGGAGAGACCTGCTGAGAGGTGATTGAAACATGGGGACAGAGTTCCCCCTTGCTGTTCTTGTGATAGTGAGTGAGTTCTCATGAGATCTGGTTGGTTTAAAAGTGTGTAGCACCTTCCCCTTCTCTCCCTTCCTCCTGCTCCGGCTATGTAAGAGGTGCCTGCTTCCCTTTCACCTTCTTCTGGCCGTGTAAGACCTGCCTGCTTCCCTTTAACCTTCTGCCATGTTTGTAAATTTCCCAAGGCCTCCCAGCCATGCCTCCTGTACAGCCTGTGGAACTGTGAGTCAATTAAACCTCTTTTGTTTATAAATGACCCAGTCTCAGGTAGTTCTCTATAGCAATACAAGAATGGACTAATACAACCTCCATCTCTACAAAATAAAAAATTATTTGAATTACCTGGGCCTGGTGGTGCACACCTGTAGTCCTTGCTATTCTGGAGACCGAGGCAGGAGGATCATTTGAACCTGGGAGTTTGAGGCTGCAGTGAGGTATGATCACATTATTACACTCCAGCTTGGGCAACAGAGTGAGCTGCTAACTAAATGATAATAATAATAATAATCTTTATGTTAATTATATTTACAAAGCTCATTTTGCCATGTAAAATAATATATTCCCAAGAGATTCAGGTGTGGGCATATTTGGGGGACCATTATTCAGCCTGCTGTCTCCCTCTTTAGCACATCTTCCTTTTCCATAGTCCTTCTGGTCCCACCTAACAGCAATTGATCATCTTAGCTGAAATCACACTATCTCTCAATGCACACAGCCCCAGGACTTTGTTTGTCCCAGCATTTATTCAATCATTCATTCAATTGCTAAATATTCATTGAGAAGCATTATATTCCGGGCACTGAATTATCTGCTATGGAAAGACTTTGTATTTGCAATGCTTAAAAAAAAATCTTAGCTGAGCATGGTGGTGTAATCCCAGTTACTTGGGAGGCTGAGGTAGGAGAATTGCTTGAACCGGGACCTGGGAGGCAGAGGTTGTAGTGAGCCAAGATTGTGCCACACACTCCAGCCTGGGCTATGGAGTGAGAGTCCATCTCTAAAAAAAAAAAAAATCTAAGGCCACATGCAGTGGCTCACACCTGAAATCCCAGCACTTCAGTAGGCTGAGGCGGGTGGATCACCTTAGGTCAGGTGTTCAAGACCAGTCTGGCCAACATGGCAAAACCCCATTTCTGCTAAAAAATACAAAAATTAGCCGGGTGTGGTGGTGGGTGCCTATAATCCTAGCTACTTGGAAGGCTGAGGCAGGGAGAATTGCTTGAATCTGGGAGGCGGAGGTTAAAGTCAACCGAGATCACACCACTGCACTCCAGCCTTGGCAACAGAGGGAGACTCCATCTCAAAAAAAAAAAAAAAAAAAATCTAATCCCTGCCTAAAATAAAGAAAGTACTTACGGTCTATGAAAAAAA